CTTGTTATCTCTTTGTACCTCTGAAATGACACAGGCATGGGATAATTCTGATTGTACAAACACTGTTAGAAACATTGTTCTTATCACCTCCAGAGCAGAAGGGTGGGCTCTGGGCTGCTTGACAGTGGTTTGACAGAAGCGAGAGGGACTACACTCACAGTCTATAGTAGTGCTTATGATGCTGGGAGTCCATTTAAGGTCAATCCAGTTTCCCACCTGCATGCATGTAAGATCATTCCCTTATTAAAGGGACACTATAGGCACCTCATTGAAATGGTCTGGGTGCAATGTCGCTGTCATTTTAGTCCTGCAGCTGCAAACATTGCAGTTTCAGACAACATTGTTTCAGAGAACACTGCAGGGTTAAGTTAGACAGCCACTAGAGGTGCTTCCTGGCCTTTCACAGAGATTGACCTGGACATCCTCACGATCTAAATCCCCGTTCCGCGCACATGCTTTAGGTCACTTACCTTAGTGCCTCAGCACCTCCTATAATCCCTAAAACTCCCCCCCACCCCACAACTTTTTGTTGGCCCCTGAGCAACATACCCTTTTCAAAGTTGTGTTCTTCTTTCACTGCACCACCATCTTTGTGCTTCTAGGATGGCTGTGGATGGAAATGTCATCTTCTGCCCTTCCTTAGGTGTGCATGTCACATTAAAGATATGCTCAGGCTTCCGATATACCTCTGTTAACTAGTGTGATCGCGCGTGAGTCAACACAGAAGATCCACGATATATCGTTGAGTATGAGAGAGGTGAGTACGGTTGACCAGTCAATGACAAAGGTCGTAGAGCCTAACTATATCTCCACCCTTTGTCAACCTGCAGGCTATTCATAAGGAAAAGTAGTCTTTCATTTTCTTTATGTATAACTTTGAAAATATACATCATTTTAAAAAAAATAAAAAAATTAAGATGGGGCAGTAGAGGGTGTTTTTGGATATGCCTAAAAAATTATCAGCAATAACTTTTTAATAAACTTTTAACTGCCATTTCAGTAAAATATAATTTTGAAAACTATTTCATTAACTATTGACTCCCATTAGTCTGTTCAATCAACTGAGCAAAATATTTAATTTATTTAAACCTGGCACAGTATTTTTATCATTTAGCTTACAGCTTTACAAAAGTTACATCTTCAAACGCTACTTACAGGTGAAGCTGCAGATTCTCAGGATACCAGTGAGGTCTAAACATCTTCAGCTTTCTTTGAACGATATTCTGCCTGTCTTAATAGTGCAGGTAAGTAAACAGTTATGTTTTAACGGTCATGGGACTGCCGGAACTGAATCACTTGCGGCATAAAAGAGAGCAGTTTTTTTTCTACTTATGATTTAAATCCTTAAAGGACCACTATAGTGCCAGGAAAACATACTCGTTTTCCTGGCACTATAGTGCCCTGAGGGTGCCCCCACCCTCAGGAACCCCCTCCTGCCCGGCTCTGGGGAGAGGAAAGAGTTAAAACTTACCTTTTTTCCAGCGCCGGGCGGGGAGCTCTCCTCCTCCTCTCCGCCTCCTCTCCTCCCTTTCGGCTGAATGCGCACGCGCGGCAAAAGAGCTACGCGCGCATTCAGCCGGTCTCATAGCGAAGCATTTACAATGCTTTCCTATGGACGCTTGCGTGTTCTCACTGTGATTTTCACAGTGAGAATCACGCAAGCGCCTCTAGCGGCTGCCAATGAGACAGCCACTAGAGGATTTGGAGGCTGGATTAACCCTAACATAAACATAGCAAGTTCTCTGAAACTGCTATGTTTATAAAAAAAAAAAAAGGGTTAATCCTAGAGGGACCTGGCACCCAGACCACTTCATTAAGCTGAAGTGGTCTGGGTGCCTATAGTGGACAACCAAAAAACCCACACAATAACTAACATGTCACCCATTTGGTGCTATGTATATTTAAACTCTGTAATTTTTCACAGTTCCTTTTGAAATTCTGTTTGTATTCTTGATATCACTGATTACAGGAAACCTGTAATACTACCAGCTACCAGACCTCAGGGTTGGGTTATTGTTACAGGGAACTGAACATGATAACACCCAGTGTTTATTGTAGTTATAGTGGGAGGTATAGGATAACGCCCAGTGTTTATTGTAGTTATAGTGGGAGGTGTAGGATAACGCCCAGTGTTTATTGTAGTTATAGTGGGAGGTATAGGATAACGCCCAGTGTTTATTGTAGTTATAGTGGGAGGTATAGGATAACGCCCAGTGTTTATTGTAGTTATAGTGGGAGGTGTAGGATAACGCCCAGTGTTTATTGTAGTTATAGTGGGAGGTGTAGGATAACGCCCAGTGTTTATTGTAGTTATAGTGGGAGGTATAGGATAACGCCCAGTGTTTATTGTAGTTATAGTGGGAGGTGTAGGATAACGCCCAGTGTTTATTGTAGTTATAGTGGGAGGTATAGGATAACACCCAGTGTTTATTGTAGTTATAGTGGGAGGTATAGGATAACGCCCAGTGTTTATTGTAGTTTTTGGGGGAGGTACAGGATAACGCCCAATGTTTACTGTAGTTATAGTGGGCGGTATATTATAAGGCCCAGTGTTTATTGTAGTTATAGTGGGAGGTAAAGGGTAACGCCCAGTGTTTACTGTAGTTATAGGGCGGGTATAGAATAATGTGTATCCAGTTTTTATGCAGCTATATATGTAGGCTTATTACACCCAGGACTTTTGCAGTTACAGATGTAGATTGAACTAGTGTTTATTAAAGTTACAGTTGATAATATAGGGCATTAAACAATAGTCTGGGGTTAATTTGTCCCCATTTGATAAATTATTGTACAGTTTTATCAATAGAGTTTCATTCTTGGGAACAACCAAGCATCAGGGCTCAGCCTACCTAATAGTGACTTACTGAGAGACCTTTCACGTGGAGGACTATTAAATGAGTTTACTTCTTCCATGGACTCAGAAGAAGGAAAGAGTGACCAGTTTTCACTACTTTGCCAGTTTCTGTCCCACACACTACTTGTGTGGCTTGCCTGTAAAGAGTCCTTTGTTGGAGTAGATTTGACACTCCACAAGTTATCCTCGGGGGGCTCACAAATATTTCTCCATCTCCAGATTGGTATGGATGGGTGTATATTCTGATGCAACATTATCTGTGGATCTAGCCTTGGGACTCTGGGTTTCTGCACAAATGATTCAGTTTCTGACACAAATTTACTTTCCTCAAATAGAAAACTCCCGAGAACAGGAGAGGAGTTGGTTTCCAAACCTTGTAGAGGAAGGCCATGATAACTCTGAAACTTGTCTTCAGAAAATATGCTGTGTTGGGTAACTTCTCTATAGCACAGCCTAGGCTCTTCAGAAGAAGTGGTCAGGTAATTACTTGACATCTTTGAACTGTTTTTATGGTCACTGTCATGGTTCCATATTCTACAGAGAACATCATCGGAAGTTTGGCTTCCTCCTGTGGGTCTTTGCATGATGTTTAGCCTTGTTCGGTTCACCTGCTTAGGAAAGATCTCTTGGAATGGTTTTCTAGTGGGAGTCTCTCGTTCATACACCTTGCAAAATGTATGGCTGGTGGGGTGTTTGAGACCATCATGTGTAGATGGAAGGACCATTTGAAAATCGTCTTGTGAACAAGTCCGCTTGTGCCTTGGTTTGTACGTGGTTTTAGAGAGATTTTGAACATTTCTTTGTTTCTCTTTATTTTGGAAAGCCTCTGTGTTTCTCTGAAGCTTGCCCCTGTTCTCACAAGTTATTTCAGGCTCAGCTCTTGGTGATGTAAACTGGTAAAAATGTGGACCGTCCTTGGAAAACACCTCATGGTAATCAAGAGGGTCTTGTCTTTTATAATCAAGTCTGCACAGAAAGGATTGCTGAAGATCTGCTGATTGTCTGATGTCCTGAGTTGGGGACAGAAATCAATAAGTTGTCACAGTATTAAATTAAAAATGCTTCTGAATATATATCTACAGAAACAATATAAACGTCAATCCAACATAACCAAGGATTAACATATGAGGATCCTATGGAAACCCTTTATTCGCTTATCCGAGGGACATCTTATGTGCAGACCTAATGTGCTTTCATAGCGAGCATCACAAGGGCATTAGGCCCTCCCCACGGAGAAGCATTAAATTAAAGCTTTCCTATGGGGATTTTGCCGACACCGGATATCCTCATGCAGAGTGTAAGTCTCAAGCTGCTTGTGAATGTCTCCCATTCATTTGTGCAAGGGAATGCGGCACATCCATTTCAGAAATGTCAGCTTCACAGTCACAGGTTTGGTACCTGCTATTGTCAGTTCAGCTTTCCCTCCTTACCAGGTCAGTGAAGTGAGTACCAAGACACTGAAATGTATTTGGAAATGAGAGAAAGCTAAACGGTTGAATACTTTGATAATACTAATTCCTTTGAAAGACAGAGAAGGTGACAGTATGGCTCAGCCCTTTTCCATTTCAATTAGTTTTAAACTCTTTTTATTGTCGTGAGTCAATGGGAAATGACAAGTATTATAGTCACTAGTACAACATTATAAGTCAACAAGATATGAGAGAGTTACTTATATATCTAACAAGACATTTTTTTCTTTTTAAAGAGAGGAGTAACACAACATATAATACATTAAAACAAAAGAAAACATGCTCTTTCACGCGTCATACTCAGAATAGGCATGATAGACAGAGAATTCGTCTCTAACACACTCAGAATCCGAAGCAACTTGGGGGGTGGTAACCAAGAGTGGCTCAGCTTCGAGACAATTATTTCATTAATCGATAGGGGGTTGGCCTGCTAGCACCCCGGTAAAGTAAAAAGCAGATTTCATTTTGGACTGGAGAGCTCTATCCAGGGGTTAATGTAAGGCTTCAAATTCTATTTAAAAACTATAGCATTTCTCATTAAGCAAAAAAATAAATATCTATTTTTTGTACATTTCTGGATAACTATTTTCATGATGTGCTCCTGGTTGCAGTTTTGCTTCTCTGAATGTGCCTTTAATATAACATAAATGTTATTCTGCAGTATCACGTAATGTCATTCAGAATCCAACGTGACAGCATTTTACAGAATTCTATTAAGAGGCCTTCATAATTATTTATATACCTGCATCGCAAATGTAACAGACTCACCATGTTCATTAGGGGATCAGTGTGATTCATGTCACATCCTGACAAGCGCACAGTGGGGGGATCGCGCTGGGGTCTGTTTGCTGACGGAGATACATTTGTAGTTGTTTTATAATCTTGTAGTTCTTTGCAGGATTGTCCCCGATCTGAACGTTCACAAGTATCAGCATTGGCTGCAAAAACACAGACAAAAAATGACAAGTACCGTCTGTCACGTGTGAATTGAGAGAGCCTGTGCTGTGGTTATCTCAGCAGGATATATCTTCCGTTTATGACACTTAGTAGAACATCACTTAAAGCTATTGTGTGTGAGTCAGACACTGGTAATCAATAAGCTTTACCATGTGTAGAACAGTAAAAAAAGATTTACAGTAATTGTATAGATTAATTACAGGCATTTAGGGCTTTACTAGCAAACAGTAAATTGCATGTAAATCATTTTTGATCATACTTGATTTGTATTGTACTTTTTTATCATTGCATGTTTTATAACTGCTCCCTGAGAGCGTCCTTTTTTTGAAGACACGCGTTGGACAGTATATATATATATATATTTTTTTAATACCAGTATATATAATTTCACGTAAATGTCTTCCTTACAGGAGTGACTGCTTTGAAGCACGGCAGATGAGAGCCTATTATAAGGCAAAACAAGCAATTCACACTAGCCCCCCATCCCCAAATTGGGGGAGGCATCTATATATGCTGACATACTCTTGTAATTACAAGATTTTATCAGCACTAAACTGTGTGTTTTTCTTTTATTACACTATGCTGTATTTATTTTATAGAGGACAGCTGCATCCCATACTAGTTTATATAGTTTATATATTGTTTGTAAGGGGGCTGGGAAAGCTGCAATTTATTCGATTGTACCAAGAATGTTGTAAGTTAAACACTATCAAGTTGGTGGTGGGAAATATTGTATGCAAGGGATATTAACTAAACCAGAAATGTTGGGTGATAACAAGGAAATTTGAAATTTTAGGTCACATAATCAACCACATTAGACATTACTTTAACATCTCACCTGTTGTGATCTAGAACTTGGGTTTCCCTGGTCAATTCTCCACAATTCTAGTTTTAGTGAATAACCTTGGCTGTTATTCCAGTCTTTATTTTGTCAACTGGCAATGTTATCCACTAACAGATTGACTAGCATCTGAAAAATGGCACGTCGGAAAAAAACAAGTTGTGCTTGAAATTCGGAAATAAGATAAGTAGAACAGCTTGTGGGTTCGATTCCAAGCATAACTCTGAGAGAGCGCAGAGATGGCACAATGCCAGGAGGGAACATAGAGTAATTGGCAGGTTACAGCTGCAAACAGTGAGACATCTCTGCTAATTGCAGCCATAACACAGAAAAAAAAACCTATGATGTACATACAAAAAAAAAAAAATACAAAAAAATTAAATAGTCTGGGGTATATAAGACCCCAGCATGTAACTGGAGATCTGCTCTCTCCCCACTTCCCGAGAAAGGGACGTTGAACTCTCTTGAATTAAACCAGGCTAATATTGCCCTGTGCGCATGTTGGGGGGCCTCCATCCCTTTCTTCATTCTTGTGCAGTGGGGAGGAAATAAATAAAAAAATAAAAAACAGGTAGGATCCTGGTAAATGAAATTTACCTACACCCCTCCAACACCCATAGGGGCTAAAGAGTCCTCAAGTCCATAGCTAAATAATGACCAGACCATGGGGTGCATTGTCATCTGGTCTTGACAGTTATCATGCCGAGGGTTCCCAATCTCTCAAATCATAAAAGAAGATCAACCCACTATGCCCCTAATACAACCATTAGGACACTGTAGTGGTTATGGTGTTTCCTATGAAGTGAGAATACAGTTATTTCTGTGCTTGTATTGTTAATTCAGTGGTACTGAAACATTGCATGACTTTTAAGCTTCCCTTACACACTTTTTTTTTTGTAAATAACTCTTTATTGAAAGTTTTGTATATGGAAACAGAGGACACAAGAAAACAATTATACTTCTCAGCTTACATGAAGTAGTGTCAGATCTATGTTATGCTCTGTTTCATAACTCTGACAGAGACGAGAAAATTATAAGATAAAAAGAATAACAAAAGGAATTGGGGGGATATAGGAGGGGACGACAGACACACTCCTTCAGATTTGTATTGATAATGTGTGCCATGTTAAAGACCAATCGTGTTGTCACAGGTGCGTCTGTAGGAGTTCTCAAATGTGGGTGCTTAGACGATAAAAATTTGCATCACCCCAATCACATGCGTGGCACCCCAGGAAACGGTGAAGCCAATTAATAATTTTTCCTCTCAATTCCTGGACGGTCCCCTCGAATCTCCAGTTAAAAATTAGCTGTTGATAGTCAAAGTCAGCCACTGCACCCAAAGTTTCAGTATAAGTCTGCATCATGAGAGGAGTACAAAAGTTCCTCCAGTGTCCTCAGCACCTCCATCTTTGTAAACCCCAGTGATAGTGGAGATTAGAAAATTCACCTTTAGGTGGTGGTCCACATCAATAGAGGTGGATGTGAGTTAAATGCAGGGTGAACTTAAGAACCATCTAAATATATGTTGTTTTTTTCCCCAATCTTTATTTTTAATATAATACAAATTTAACTGAGAGACATATATGAGTCATAAGAGAAGTCAGAATTCTAAACATAATGAAACAATTAACAGTTGACACTTAGAATGAGTCATTTTGGCCAGAAAGTTCCCCTGATATCGAGCGGCCTGAATTTCAACTTAACATCGTTCAGCTAAGGGGGCCTCTTGTCAACGATTCACATTATACCTGTATCTGGGGAGATGTTCCATTACTAAGAGAAAGAGAGTATGTGAGAAGCAAAAAAGAAGAAGGAAAGGGAAGAAAAAATAAAGGGGTGGATGGGAAAGTGAATGATAGGAAAGATGATTCCGAACTCTCTAGCCTCCCACGGGAGTCGAGCCTATCTGCTCAGTCATTATTACTCAAAGAAAACGGCCAGGTTCTCCACATCTTCTCAGAACAGCTTTTCAGCATGGTGGATCACTGCCACCTGGTCCAGCCAACTTTGGTGTGAACATGGGCCCACTGCAGCCAAAGGGCAGGGATCTAGGAGCAGTTAGAAAGTGCATGGCAGCGTTTTCTTATACTTAGAGATAGGTCATTTCAGTGGTGTATCCTGATTTTGTACTGCCCTAGGCATGACAAAACTCATACACACTCACTGACAGACACATATACACTCAGTGTCAGACAAACATACACTAGCTAACAGACATATGCACTCACTAACAAACACATACAGTCACTAGCAGACACACACATTCACTAACAGACACGCATACACTCTCACTAACAGACATACACACTCACTAACAAACACATACAGTCACTAGCAGATGCACACATTCACTAACAGACATGCATATATACTAACAGACATGCATATACACTAACAGACACACACTCCCTAACAGACACACATATAGTAACACACTCCCTAACAGACACATACACACACTCGCTAACAGACACACACACACACACACATTAACACACTCACATTTTTTGGGGGAATGCTGGTGTGGATAAACACTTTCCCTGGGGACCAGTGGGGCTGCAGGGCGGGCGGCCGGTCACTGCAGTCGGCGAGGGAGCACTGATCTTCCTGTTCAGTGCCGTCGCGCGCCGCGTAGTGATGCCGGGGCCAGAGTGACGTCATATTCCGGCTCCGGCATCACTGCGGTGTGCGCGAGGGAGCTGATCAGGAGGATTAGTGCTTCCTCGCCGCCCGCATGGAAAGCTCTGCCGCTGCCAGCTTGGGGGGCCTGAGGTGGCCAACCGGTCAGCTCCTGGCCCCGCAGGACAAGAGGCTGGCAAGGCATTTGCCAGGGCGAATGGGGGGGCAGCTTTTTTGCCACCCCCTAGAAAGTGCCGCCCAAGGCAAATGGGTAATTTAGAGCAGTTCCAGAGCATATCTGCTGGTTCCATAGATACCGGAGTTCAGGGAGGAAAAGAATGCCAGAGGCAGACATATAGGTATGGTCTGGAATAAATAAAATAGCCTTTGTAACAATATAATTTTAATAGAATTTCTACGTCCAAGTGGCTACAACTTCAGGTCTGGCCCGAACACGGCAGTGCCGATTAGGGCGGTCCACAGCGAATAAGGCACTCTGCGCTCTGAGTGAAATTTCAGAAGCCTGATGCTGCCTGGGGAGGAGCTGAGACCAGCACTGGAGGCAACTTAGGTGTTTAACCCCTTGAAGTATGAGTGCCTCCAGGGACCTCCTTACACCATAACAACTTTAATTAGCTAAAGTTGTTTTGGTGCCTGGAGTGTCCCTTTAATGAAACAATTTCAATGATATTGCATATAATCAATGCTTAATGTATGGCCATTAAGATTAAGATTGTTAAAGGGACACTATAGTCACCAAAACAACTTTTGCTTAATGAACCAGTTTTGATGTATAAATCATGCCCCATGCAGTCTCACTGCTCAATTCTTTGCCATTTAGGAGTTAAATCACTTTGTTGATACAGCCCTAGCCACACCTCCTTGCACGTGACTTGCACACAACCTTTCTAAACACTTCCTATAAAGAGTCATCTAATGTTTACACTTTCTTTATTACAAATTCTGTTTAATTTAGAATTTATCTCCTGCAATGTTAATATCTTTTTAGACCCTGCAGGAGCCTCCTGTATGTGATTAAAGGTCAATTTACAAAGAAGGAGATAAAACGTAAGTTACATCTGATTGAAAATGAAACCATTTTGTTTCTATGCAGTCTGTGTCAGTCACAGCCAGGGGAGACCTGGCTAGGGCTGCATAAACAGAAACAAAAGTGATTTAACTCCTAAATGGCAGAGGCATGTTTTATACACCAAAACTGCTTTATTAAGCTAAAGTTGTTTTGGAGACTATAGTGTCCCTTTAATGTATGGAGATTAAGATTGTTTGACTACGTATGGCAGATGACATCTTTTAAATGAGATCCATTTGCCGTCTCGCAAAGTCGGGATCGTTCGATTGCATTGTTTATAATATTAGATAATGTTTGAGGTTCTAGCGCTCCAATTTCTGCATGGATATTTTCCTTCAGCTGCTAAAGTGTATGCGGTTTGTTCACTTACACCCGCTCCTTCATATATCTCCAAAGGAAATAATCGAGAACTGAAAGGTAGGGCAAATATGGCTGACAATCTGGGAATTTCTTAAAATGAACTGCTTGCCAAACAGTTGTCTCAGGAGGTTGGCTGAGGCCCTGGCTGTATGAGCAGTAGCCCCATCCTGTTCAAACCAAATTTCCACAAATTTGCAATCATATCCCGATATGTCACACAAGTAACTTTCACTATTTTTACTTGCTATTTTTTCGTGAAATTACCGATGGCGAATCTCCAAGACTCCGTTATAATATGTACCTGCAACTAAAAAATGTAACTATTAAAAAACAAGTTATTTACCTGTCAAATCCTACTCTGAATGTTTGCCCACCCAGTACTTTGTAATATTTAAGTGAAAACCCATCAGGTCTCGGAGCTTGTATTATCTTGACGTTCTTAATCACTACCTGCACATCCTCAATTGTTATGTCAGCTTCTAATAGTGGCCCAAGCTGTTTGCCATATAGGTCAAGAGGTAGTCCTCTCAAGCATGGAAACTAACTATGTCTGTTAGATTCTCTACAAAAATAGTATTTATTACAGTGACATCTAGTGGTCAGTTTCATAATTGAAGATAATTAAAAATATTGTCCAAATAAGCAAAATTGGTTGAAAATAACCGAATCCGGACTACATCAGAAATTTGCAGATTTATTTAGGTCTCCTAAATGTTTAAAACTAGCAACTGGGCAGCCTTTGCTAGAAAAGGCCCCATCCCATCGACACAGTAACACCCATGCCCCTACCCATATTAATGGTGGGGGCAATAATATTAATAAAACAAGGAGGACATAAAATACGCCATGGCCCCCACCCATCCCAACATAGGGATAGAAAAGAGGAACAGAGAGATCTGGGATAATGCAGATAATGTTAAAGTAAGTTACATCTGATTGAAAATTAAAAAAAAAATTGTATGCACACCATATCAGTCACATGCAGGGGAGGTGTGGCTAGGAGGGTATAAACAGAAACAAAAGTCAATGAACACCTAAATGGCAAATAATTGATCAGTGAGATTCAGAGGCACGATCCGTCAAAACTGCTTCATCAAGAGACATTCCTGCAGTCAGCATGCCAATTGCACGCTCCCTCAAAACGTGCGACATCTGTGGCATTGTGCTGTGTGATAAAACTGCACATTTTAGAGTGGCCTTTTATTGTGGCCAGCCTAAGGCAAACCTGTGCAATAATCATGCTGTCTAATCAGCGTCTTGATATGCCACACCTGTGAGGTGGATGGATTACCTCGGCAAAGGAGAATTGCTCACTAACAAAGATTTAGACAGATTTGTGAACAATATTTGAGAGAAATAGGCCTTTTGTGTACTTTTGAGTACAGCTCATGGAAAATGAGGGCAAAAACTTATCGGAGCCACAAGGCGACCAAACCTCATCACCGCAATCCCGGGCAGAGTGCTGTGAGGGGGAGATCCCCGGTACATACCTCGCACCTCCGGAGGGAGAAACTTCAAGACTAAGATAACACTAAACTGCACCGGAGCGGCACGCAGCCGAAACAGCAGGAACCAACAACGTGTTCCCACTCAAGCCTGACTGAGTGGCAGACTGAGGGGCCAGTTCTGGGTCACTGGGACTTTCACTAACCAAGTGTCACGTATTCATTTGTACATAAAAATGTGATTAATGGCATTTACTGTACTGACAGGAAAAGTTGTGCTGAGCAGCAATCAATCCACAGGAGGGTTTGTGCTGAGCAGCAATCAATCCACAGGAGGGTTTGTGCTGAGCAGCAATCATGCAAATAGGAACCTGGTAACTGCCTTTGGGGTCAAAGGCTGGTTACAACCAATCAGATCCACAGGCTGGGTATTTAGGCCCAGTTCTCCTCTTGTTGTGGTTTCCCTTGTGGTTGTCCGAGAGTGCGTTATTGATTCTATTTTTTCTGGTTATTTGACTTTGGCATTGGTTTACTGGCATCCCCGACTTCTGGGTTTTCCTTATCGTTGTGTCTCTTTCTGTTTCCCTTGACCTCGGCTATTCCCGACTATTCATTGGTACGTTAGTCCGGCCATTCTAAGGTCCGGTATACGTTACCTATCAGTCCTCTGTGTTACACAATACAACGTGCTGGATCATACTGTAATCCTGACACCAAGGAGGTCAGAAACCAAGTCTGGGGATAGAGTGAACTGCTGACAATTGACTACCTGTGGTGTGCATTTCAGTTATTGCCTTGCTTTTATTTTTTACCGACTGATATGTATCAACCCTTGCCTGGATTGCGGACGCTACATTTCCTTCTCACTTAACTACCTTCGCAATGCTGATGGTATCTAGCGGACATGGCGCTCTGTCCTCTCTGAGCCGCAGAGCATATTATTTTCTGTTTAATAATCATCTCAGCTGTTGTTAAGTAGCTTTAGTCTCTTTCTCTACTTATCAATTCTTGAGTTTGAGTCACTGACTTACTTCCTTATCTATAAAAAGTGCAGTCATTTCTTCCTCAGCACACCTCTAAAATGATTTTGATCGTTTTAACTTATGTGTTGAAAATATATCCTATATTCTGCTTATGATGAATATTATACCTCTGCGCAGGTTAACCTCTGTCACATTATCTCACTGCAAGTCAAAATAAAGAATAAACAAATATATATATTACAATGCTCTTGATGAATACATCCACTATTTGAGTATTGCCGTTTGTGACAATGAAGGCACGTTACGCAACTTAACGCTAACTTCTAAGTGGCACACGTGCAATTTGTTATATAGGAGGTGCATAAACAATCAACAAATGAGAAAGAGAGTAGTTGGCCGAGAGAGGGTAGTGTGAATAAATGTCCTTTCTAGACTCTAAATAAACAATGATTTTAGTAGTTCTGAAACTTTAAAAGGGACATTTTAAAATGTATTTACCATGATTTATTTGCCATAATACAAATACGAATCTACATCAATTAAAGGAACACCAGAGCATGCAGTAGTGGTTATGGTGCCAAGAGTCTTAGGAACCATCCAACAGTAATCAAATCATCAATGAATGGTATAACACTTATCTTGTGTTGGGCGCCTGTGGTGCACTGTCAGCTGACTGCTCTCAGACAATTAGTACTCTAAACCTGGTACGAATTGCTATGATAACGCAGAAGTATACATTTCTGCTTTATCATAGCGACGCACATTAGAAGGACCCCAGGTATTCTACACAGCAAGGTAAGTGCCAGATTGTGCGCAAACAGTTTGACTGATTACTATTTCCCAGCACCGGGAATGTTTTAGCACCATAACCACTACAGCATTGTAAATCGCGTATGAGCCTGTACCTATCTCTCTGTACTGTGATAGCTGACATGTGTACTGCTAAGTCAATTGTCTCGGATGCATGCACTTAAATGTGGATTATTTAATAACAATTTACCTCCACCATTGCCAACAATTTGCCTAGCATAATGTACAATTGAACAGCTAACTCCTATAATGTATCACTGTGTCTTTTCTGCATGACAATTGCACTTTAATGGGTCAATCTAGGCATCATCGTACATTCACATTCTCTGTTACCATGACAACTAACCACCTTAAGAGACTTATCTAAATTTTGCGTTCTGAAAGTAGCTTTAGTTTGGATTAAAAAGTCACACTGGGTTTGAAATGAGCAACAGAAGGTTTAATTATTAACATGCTTCCGAAGCTCTGAAACAAATCTCGAGATCTGTAAGAAATAGTGCCCAAATGAGCTTAAACAGGATACAGCAAGTGATATCATGCTAATCAGGGATTTTAGGAATATCGGTCTCCTTCCCTTACTGATCTTATACAGAGAAACAAACCCTCAAATGACAGAAAACTGATATTTTTTGCAACCTCCAAAGGGGAGTTGTTTGTTTAGGTGGTGGCATCTGGTAAGAGAAAAGAAAGGTAGATATATGTACGTGGATCTCTTTGGTGCATACCAACCAAGTGACCCTATTTAGAAGGGACCGTCCCTATTTTGGTCCCAAGTTCCTCAGTCCCTCTTTTCTATCCTTATGTCCTTCTTTTTTCATATTGTTGGTGTGTCTGAGTGTAAAACAGAACTCCACAGTAATAATATTCCCAGTAATGTGTCTTTAAACTACTATACATGTGTTTAGAAATCAGACTGCAAATACATGCTAAGTTACATGCTAGTTGCATAAATTGCTTTTAGTAAGTCACCTAAGATTTTTTTAAATAGCTCCACCCCTTGCACACCACCATACCCCTAAAATAATAGTGCCCCTCTTTGTCGCAGCAGCTGGCTGAAGCCCAGCTTTTGCCAAAAACACTGTTCCTTATTCCATATTAATGTATTCGAATGAGGCAGTCTCATAGCTTGAGCCTTTTTATTTTTTTGAAAATTGCTGCAGTTTAGACCACGAAGAAGATAGACAGGCTCTGAGGACCTCCTTACATCATTTACGGAGAGAACTGCAGACCAACCATCTACAAATGGATGGAAGAACCGTGCTTTTTCCATATATATTCTATTAAAGGAGACCCTGTTTATAATTTCTTTCCTTGTATATGATTATATTTAAAACATTTACTAGACAGGCCCACAAGGGAGCGCAGGATGCAAACGATGCAATCATCTGATCAGGAAAAAAACTGCGTTATTAAATTCCTCACATACACATTGTGGGGGCGGGGGACAAAAGCTGTGAGAAAAATACTATCTTTAAAGCACTGCATCTGCTTATTCTAAAACCGGCTGATGAACGATCATCTCCTTCACTATAAGTACCACGACTACAATTAAAAAGGGAATGTTATATATATATATATATAAAAACATATATAAACATACATTGCTCTCTCTCTCTCTCTCTCTCTCTCTCTCTCTCTCTCTCTATATATATATATATAGATAGATATAGATAGATACACATCTGGTATATCTCCTGAATTGTTTTCATTTGCAGGGTCTCAGGCTTAACTTACCAGACATGTGTTACCTCCTCTACAAATATGGCAATCGCAATGAATGTCCCAGAATGCTCAGTTGGTATTAGCCATTTATTTAGAAGTGTGGGCTTAAAGGGACATTATAGTCACCAAGACCACTTCATCTCATTGAAGTGGTCTGTATGCAGGGTCACTGCACCACTTAGTCCTGCAATGTAAGTTATAAGCAGGGCTCGAGTCCTGCAGGAACGCATGGGAACGGCGTTCCTGCACTTTTTCCAAAGCAGGAACGCCGTTCCCGTTACCAGTCCTGCAGGACCGGCCCTGCTACCTGCACTGAGGGGCCGTCACACGCTGTGTTCCCTCTCCAGCTATAACTCTCGCGAGACCCGCGGCTGTTACAGTGGCGGATCCAGAGCCTGATCTCGGGAGGGGCACTTGTAGATTATTTAATTAAATAATCCAGGCACAATAACCACTACAGCTCAGTGTAGTAGTTATGGTGTCAGTAGTGCCAGGATTCCACCCCAGAGTAAGTAGTCATACCGTTTAAGAACAGTTTGACAACTTATCTGGGGTCTGCTGGTATATAGGGTATAGGAGCAGTGGTGTGTGTTAAGGGTGAAGTGTGTGAGTGCGGCAGTGTATGTCAGGGTTGTAGTGTGTGTGTTAGGGGGCAGTGTATGTATGGGGGCACTGTATGTGTTTTTGGGGCAGTGTGTGTGTATGGGGGGACAGTGTGTGTATGGGGACAGTGTTTGTGGGGCAGTGTGTGTATGGGGACAGTGTTTGTGGGGCAGTGTGTGTATGGGGACAGTGTTGTGTGGGGCAGTGTGTGTGTATATGGGGGCAGTGTGTGTATTGGGACAGTGTTTGTGGGCAGTGTGTGTGTGTATGGGGACAGTGTCAGGGGGCAGTGTGTGTGCATGGGGACAGTGTCAGGGGGGTGTGTGTATGGGGTCAGTGTGTGTATGGGGCAGGTGTGTATGGGGGGTCAGTGTGTGTACATGGGGACAGGTGTGTGTATGGGGACAGTGTGTGTGTGGGGCAGTGGGTGTATGGGACAGTGTTTGTGGGCA